TATCCCCTAGAGAGGATTTCCAAAAAAAATAGAAGAAGAAGAAGTAGAAGAAGAGAAGGGAGAAACCTGGGAAGCCCAGGCCGTCTGCCACAGAAAGGGGATCACCTGGCCTTCACGCAGTGACCCAGGACAAAATGACACATCTGGCCCATCTGGTCACATTCTGTTACCTCAGACCCGAGTGAGAGACAGCAAGAGGGCTGGTGTCTGTTCGTTACAGACACACACTGGTGCCACCAGAGAGCAAACGGAAGGCCCTGAAGCAGCCCTGTCCCGCCCGACCACAGCGGTCAGCACAGAGGACCCGGTGCTGGCCGCGGACGTGGCTTCCGCACATTGGAAGTTATTAGAGACGTGCTCCATCGCGCCTTCATCATCTGATTCTGAAAACCGAAGGTACTTGAGGAAAATCCATAATGGCTCTGCCAGCATCACCACCACCTGCGCAGGCAGCACCCTCGGGCCCTTACTAGGGGACAGTGTCGTGGTCGCACGTCTTACACCCTGGAAGCAGCTTTCCTCTTTCTCTCTTTACAGATAAGAAGTTAGCCCTGGCCGGTTTGGCTCAGCGGTTAGAGTGTCGGCCTGCGGTCCTGAGAGATCCGGGTTCGGTTCCCGCTAAGGGTGCGTACCTCGGTTGCAGTTTGTCCCCGGCCCTGGTTGGTCGTGCGGGTGGCAGCCACTCGATGTGTCCCTTTCACATCGATGTTTCTCTCTCTCTCTCTCTCTGTTCCTCTCTCCCTCCCACTCTACCTGAACAAAAAATGGAAAAATGTCCTCGAGTGAGGATAAAAAAAAAAAAAAAGAAGAAGTTAGTAACCTCCCCAGGTCACCCAGCAGGGCAGTGATGCAGGCAGGATGCAAACCCAGGCCCACCTCCAGAGCCCTTGCCAGGCAAAGCTGCACCACTCCGCTCCCATAAGGGCTGTGCCAGGCGGGCTGTAGCAAACACAAGAGAAAATTAAAGAGAAGCAGAATGAAGTCTCTTGACAGTAAAGGGCAAACACTGATCTTACTCTCAGTTAAAAATCAACTCAGTTATTCAATGTCTTTTGGAATAAGTGTTCCACAAAATTGCATTTTCTAGCTAGTCGGTGCTTCTGGAAACTTGTTTTACATATCATATATTTCTCTGCCTTCTTAAAGCAACACCGCAGAACACAATGGAACTCTCTGCTCTGCTGCAGGGCTAGCACGTCGCAGCAGCAACCAGAGTGACCGATGTAGGGCCATGCATGAGGACCATTTTTTGTTTTGTTTCGTTTTTGTTTTCAGTAGCTCCCCTCACGCTGCTGAGCAGAGCGGCCTCTGGTCATCACTATGTCCTGCTCCAGTTGATCTGACCTCCCCTCTTTCTTTGTCTCCCAGTTTGCTGAGTGTCATCTACACTGGGACCTTTCTGTTTGTGCTTTATTCCTGAAGGTCCAGAAAGGAAGTCACCTCTGGACACATGAGTGGTTATCACATTTCTGTGACTCTCCCACTTGACTCCTCAGTTTAAAACTGATTTTTTTTTTTCCTAAAAGGAAGTATAAAAAACTTAAGAATAACTACGCTTAGGGAAATGGGCTGGCAAAAAAAAAAGTGGGAGGAGAAAAGTTGTTTTTTTTGTGTTTTTTTTTTCTATTTAGTGCCTTTAATTAATTGGGACTGTCTAATGTCATATGTGTTTTAGTTCTACTTTGAGAATGTCAGCTGTGGTTATCTGGGCAGAGAGATTTTTTTTAACCTTTGTCTTCCTTTTTTACTTTTAAATGCTATATAATGATACCATTTATGTGTGTATGTGTATATATACATATATATTCATATCCATAACAGAAATACATACACACAAATATAAATGTTTAAAATGTTTATGGCCAATAACTTATGAAATCTAAATTTCTTTCCTAATGGTCCATTATATGATAACACTTATATACTTCTGTTGTTGAAAATTCTAAATTCTCTTTGAAAGTAATGCCTCTGTGTGTGTGTGTGTGTGTGTGTGTGTGTGTATCCATATTAAAAAGCTTCTTGGTGTTTGAATAAATTCGTAAGTATCTATAGAAAAAAAGTTTCTGGTGTAGGTGTACATTTTCAATAATAATTTCGGAGAAATCCATTGAGTTACCTTCAAAAAACAAATTTTCCTGTGGCACATTTTAAATGATTGCAACCTATACAGAGATATAAACTGAACTTTCAAATTTTCCAAAAATTATTTATTGATCTAAATTATAAAATCTTACTGAATATTCAGTATTTTTCTTAAAAGAAAATGAAAACCCATATAACTGCCCCACTGGTGTGGCTCAGTGGCTGAGCGTAGACCCACGCATGAAGATGTCGCCAGTTCAATTCCCAGTCAGGGCACATGCCCAGGTTGTGGCCCAATCCCTGGAGAGGGGCATGCAAGAGGCAGCCAATCGATTTTCTCTCTCATTGATGTTTCTCTTTCTCTCTCTCTCTCCTTCTCTCTTCCTCTCTTTCTAAAATTGATAAAAAATAAAATAAAAAAAAAACCCATGTAATTATTATACATTAAAAGGCAAAAATGATAGATATAAAAATCTCTTTTAAAGAGACTATATATAATCAAAGAATCATGGAGACTATTGATCTTTACTTTATTTTTTTGAAAAAAAAAAAAAAAAAAAGACATTTGGAAAAGTCCAAATGATAGTTTTCGCTCCATGAAATGAAAAGTGTGCCTACTCTTGAAATGTATAGGGGAGTGGAATGGGTTTGGCACACTTGATGAAGTTCTCTCACTCCTAACATCACTAATCCTATTAAGCTCAGGCTAGAAAGCTTGTTGTTGCCACCACTAACTTCTTTGGTTTACTTCTCCTTCCCTCTGCTTTCTGACTCTGCAGGAAGTGTGTTGAAGAAGACACAAAGGGACTTCTTCACGTCGGGGTAGGTACTGTCTCACTGTCTCATCAGCATCATCACAGACTGAAAGCTGTTTACTTGGACCTCATGTCTCATAAAGTGGCTGGGGCCTTCCCCAGAAGACTGGCAGAATCCCTGGCAGAGCGTGACAGGCAGGGGAATTCCGAACAGGGCCTCCAGAAAGAGCTGGCTCCTGACTGTGTAGGCCTGCCTGGGTCATCCAAAGCACAGGCTGATGCCCAAGCCACCTGGTAAGACTGTAGGGGAAGCAAGGGACCAGTGAAAACAGAGGTTGACACTCAATAAATACTTGCTGAGTGAATAAATGGCAAGATTGTACTTATATAACATAAATTATCTGAATAAAATTATATAACCTCCCTCTTCAAGGTTCTGTTCAAAAGGCAATGATGGTCAAGAGGTTCAGGCCTGCAGGAGAAAATGGACTGAGCGATGCCAGCACAGAAGCAGAAGTTAGAATAAGCCAGGCGGCCTTCAGCTCCTCTTTCCACAGCCAAACTAACTTTGGGATAACAAAACCCTTGTTCAAGAGCTGTCTGGGGGGCTCAAATTTTAATTTTAGGAAACAGATTTAAGTCCTATGAATTCTCATCATATCAGATAATCACATCAATATTTATTTAAGTGTAATAACTGACAAGGCTAAAGAGAAACCATTGGGAGACTGTCTGCCTTTTCTATTCTATGTTACCACATCCCTTTATGTCTCGTAACAGGCACCAAGAGAGTAAATAGCAGCTCCTCATGGAATCCCCAGGCTGAAAAACCCTTAAAGGTCAGCTGGTTCAGTTACCAGAACACAGCCAGAAACTATACCTGTGACACACAGAACTATATATAGAAGGAAGGTCACATCCCTTTATGGCAAATTTTATTTTTTTCAAGATCTTAAGCCACATACCACTCATTTCCTAATCACAATATATTCTTTTCTGTTAATTTATCAAAAAGCACAGGTATTATGAAGACGTATCATTATTAGAACAGTATTTTAATACTACTAGCATGACTAAATCATGGGGATATTTTTAATATGAGTTTTAATTAATACTGCTATTTTCTCTGTTTGAATTCGAATGGAAGATTCTTAAAGTTAGCCTAGGCTTCCACTTAATACAGAATGCCTCTTTCTAGTATGTTTTGTTTAAAAGATTACATAATAAAAGATTAATGCTGCAACTTTAAATATTTGTTTTTAAATTCCACAGGAGGTGCTGAATATGGAATACTATTATTTTGTATTTCTTAAATAAACCCTTTTCTAGATTTTGAACAAATGACTATGATATTAAAATGTTATCTTTCTATTTTTTTTTTATCCTCACTCGCGGACATTCTTCTATTTTTTTGTTCAGATAGAGTGGGAGGGAGAGAGACGTCGACGTGAAAGGGACACATCAAGTGGTTGCCACCCGCACGACCCAACCAGGGCCGGGGACAAACTGTAACCAAGGTACGTGCCCTTAGCGGGAACCAAACCCGGGTCTCTCGGGACCGCAGGCCGACGCTCTAACCACTGAGCCAAACCGGCTAGGGCTTATCTTTCTATTTTAAATCATTGCCAGTTATGTATGGAGATTTGTCAAACCAAACTTTCTGTTGAGTCATAATACAAAGCCTGTACTTAAAAACGTATTTCAAAATCAAGTTGTAATTCTTTTAGGTAAAATATAACAAGTCCTCTGGCTAGTACAATAATAATATGCATACAAATAGCAAGCACATAAATTGTCTAATCTGAGAACTAATTTGTTAGTTACTGTCACAGAGCACCTATGTGACAAAAAGGATACCTTGGTGTGAGCTGCCCAATAAAATATAGTGCTAAAATCAACACAATATATAGAGTGACCATATTTGCAAGGAAAGAGGCTGGTGCACACTGAACAGAAAACCCACATCACAGACAGATTTGGCATCACCAAGGTATGACATGACGGGATTTTTGTTCTAAACAACAGTGCCACTCAGTGGCTGAACAATGGTAGTGAACTGATCAACTATGAATGGAGGGTGGGCAGAAGAACAATGGAGTTTTGAAGTTGGCAATGATAATACTGCAGGCAAACAGATAAACTACATTGCCACGGTAACTGTACCTTGGAGGTCAGTTAGAGTCTGGACAGGAACAGAAACATTGCTTCCTGTAACTACATCACCTGGATTTCACAAGAAAAAATAATTAGATTTCATAAAAAGAAAAAAATAATAAATTTTTCTTTTATATTTAATGTTGTAATACATTTATCAATCAAATTACTAAAAGTAAAATAAAACAGAAAATACAGTGTAATCTTATGAAAAGAAATATAAGCTATTTTTTAAAAGAACAATTTTTTAATGTGTTTTCTAAAAAGCATTTGTGCATGTTTTTCTTAAAGAAAAAAACAAACAAACAAATTTCTACTAGTCTGAAGAATCAAACAAGTTTCTACCAGTTGAAAGTATAGGAAACTCTAGCAATCAAAAGATTTTGCTGAACAGACTTCATTGTGCTACAAATATTAGTGTGATTTTACATATATTTTTAATTTCTTTACCCAAAAAGTTACATGCATTTATTAAATAAGCATTCTTTTGAAAATAGCAACAGGCACAATTTATTTTTAACTAAACTTGAAACCAATTTCTTCAATAAAGACTTAAACAAGTTCTAATTTCATATTAAATACTGAAAAGATTTCAAAAGTTACCACATGTACTTATAAATGTCAACATGTAAAAATAAATCTGTGAACGGCATACCCTTTAAACTTGATATACTTATTATAGGCAAGATCTCATTTACAAATTGGACCTGTAGTACATGCTTAAAATGAAGAAATGTTCAAATTCGAAAAACAGACAAAGGAAATGGGGAAAAGGAGCGCAGTTTTAGAACACAGGAAAGAAAGAAAAGAAGCACCACGGGCAGTTCTGTGAAGAACTGAGGTGCACTACCACTCAGAGGGAAGACTTTTTGCTTCTTTGATTTCCTCCCTGGATGACAAAGTTCCACATTAAGCTGTCATTGTCAACAGCACTGAAGGTCTATGTTATTTTGAGATTAACAAGGTAAAAAAACAAGCCTCCTTAAAAGGCACTGTATTTTCTATGCATGATAATGTATGACTAATAGACTTGCTTCCCCTGTAGTTTTTATACAATAGCAAAAAAAAATCTATTTTCGAATTAAATAACACACCCTCGGTGCCTTGACCACTTGCTACAATTATGATTTACAGCAGGGCTAGCTCATCTCAAAATTATTGGTTGTAATTATATCATCCCTATCAATTAACAGTACACACATTTTTATTTTCCTTTAACTGCAATAAAATCTACAAATAGGTATACTCCAAACAAGTGACAAACAGCTTTTAGCAAAAGTTATCAGGTCCTGAATTTTCATAAGATAGTTAACTCTCTATTCACTGACAAATGGCATGCCTATTTTCTGTATATTTGAAGGAGATTTTCAATTTTATGCTTGCTACCCATTTTATTCTGCTGCTTCTGGATCACCTATTAGTGTATATTTAGAGACTGAAAACTAATTTTAATATTAAATATCACCAAGAAAATTATGGAGGAGCATCTGTGCTCCCTTTCCGTTTCTCCACAGCCCCAGCCCCAGCCCCAATACGAACTACAGAATGCATTTCAAGCAACGTATACGTGGATTTTCTGTTTTCCATACAACTGTTCCTCTGTATAAGCACAAATGATCAAAAGTTAACTAACCTAGGAAAACCATAAGCATTTTCATCTTTATAAACAACCATTTTTCAAAACAACTTTCAGATTTTCCAGCAGAGTACACTAAAAAGGCTGGTACGTGTCTTTCCTCCAAGGCTCCGAGTAGATGGTGCGTTCTGAGAGCTGGAAGTGATGCTCCAGCGCAAGCCTCCCGGCGGGCTTCTGTGCTCATGCTACTGCACAGATCTGTGACACACCTGCACACTGGCCGGGCCACAGCACAGCGGGACACTTGCGGGAAACACCAGCTTAAAGGACCCATGTTGAAGAAGTGTTTTTCATCATCAAGTTAACAAATAATCTTTCACCAAAAGAACCATAGATGTTTGGAGCTGGAAGACCCCCGGAATCAGTGGATGCTCTCACTCAGGTTGAGGAGGCAAAGGGTCAGGAGCCATCGGGTTCTGCTCCAGGTCACGGGTGCCTGAGTGGGGAGTGTGAACCTGCACTGGCTTCTGCTCGGCACACTGTTCCCCTAGCCCTTTCCTCCGTTCTAGTCAAGCCTTTTTGCAGGGAGGGGCATTAGCTACACTACTTATTGCTAATATGAAGGTAGACAGCTCTTTGTAGATTGACTGAGAAGAACAAACCAGAAATAGAAAGACAGAGGAGTTGCCAAACAAGGCCACTTGCCTCCGGCACGGGGATTGCTTACAAAACACCCCAGTGGTGGTACTTGTGTCCCAAACACTTTGCTTAAGTGCTCTGCTGTCTTCTTATGACTGGGGACCGAGTTTTCATCAATTGTTCCATCCTCATGCACTTCCTTTCTTGCTTACTGTGATATTAATACTTGACATTTCCTCAGAGACACAACTTTATATTTCTATAGTCATTTGGCTTGGTTCCTCAGAAAATTTA